TTTTTTAATGATTTTGCTTAAAAATCATTTTGAATTTAATTACAGCATGTAAAGGATCGCTAGCTTGTTCTATGATGTAATTGAGACACTACGAAATATAGCTACATATTTCGTAGCAAACACTAAAATTCTGTAGCTAAAGCTGAATAACTACGAAATTTGTTACGCAAATTTTCAGTTAGACTTCGTAAGTTTATTTCTTGTAGCAAATTGTTTAGCTACGGAAATACAATTCTGTAGCAATTTTGCTATGACAGTTTCTACGACATATATTCCGTTGTAAATTGAGTTCCATAGCATTTTCGTAGCAAAATCCATAACAATTTTTCCGTAACAAATTCCGTTGTAATGTTTCCGTAGCAAATTTCGTAGCAACTTTTCCGTAGCAAATTCCATAGCAACTTTTCCATAGCAAATTCCATAACAATTTTTCCATAACTAATTTCGTAGCAATGTTTCCGTAGCAAATTTCGTAGCAACTTTTCCGTAGCAAATTCCATAGTAACTAATTTCGTAGCAATGTTTCCGTAGCAAATTCCATAGCAACTTTTCTGTAGCAAATTTCATAGCAATTTTTCCATAACTAATTCCGTAGCAACATTTCCGTAGCAAATTCTGTGGCAATTGTTCCATACCATTATTCAATAAATTTCGATTATTCAATTCGACTATTATATAATTTCATAAAAATGCAATTAATATAAAACCACAAGTAAAAGATTATTTCTATAGAAACTAAAAGAAATATCCAATATATCAAAAGATACCTATTTCAAAATCAAAAGTGGCTACTAATTAAATATAAAATATTATTCGATACATAATATTCTATCATTGATTAATAAAAATTTTAACCTACTCACTCAAAGCTTGTGCAAGTTGTTCAAACTTTACTTGAACATCCATATTTTTCTGTTGAAACTCCACATTCTCTTGTTGACCATCCTTATATTTTTGTTGAATATCCTCATTTTATCCGCGTTGCGTCTCAACTAAGGCAATTTGGTTTGAGACATAAGTCTTTCTTTTTATGATCCTACAATATTTCAATATAACCAGTAAAAACAAGAACGGATGATTAAACAAGAAATTTGACTATCGAATATTATAAATGATGTAAAGCACAAAAAAATTACCTCAAAAGCCTTTTTCAAAAACATAAGATTTTTTTTCGTATTTTTGTCTAGCAGAACCAAATCCCACTAAAATGGCATTAAAAATGGACATCGCCTTTTTGCACAACCTCTTCATGTGCTTCTCTAATTGCAACCTATAGTGATTTGAGAGAAGATTTTATAAAGGCTTGTACATTGATTTATATAAAAGTCAAAGAAAATAATGAATCATACTTACTCAGGTGGCCTTTGTACGATCAAAGATCGACACATAGAGATCAGTAGCCAACTCATACGCCCTTTCACACGTTGCTTCTTCAACACTCTGTAAAATGGAAATAGTTTAGTAAAACACAATAAGAATTAAAAAGAAATATAAAAACTAACATGCCATGAGAAGGTTACTGTAGCACTGCTACATTTTACTTGTGCAAACTTTCTTCAAAACCAAGAAATATTAGAAACATCTGTTAACTATTGAAAAGGATTGCGAGGGCTACAAGCACAAGCCATGAAAATCCGTACAGATGTAGGAATGGAAAGATTGGTTATGTTTGGTTGGTTTATAGAAATAGAATAAATTTTCTTATGAATTTACAAAAGTCGTCCCTTCGTTTTGGATTTTTATCGTGTTTAGTCTAGAATTGAAACCTTTTCTACAAAGGGACCACTTTTGTAGTTAATTGTTTTTGTGTTATATGTGAATATGCTGTAGGGTAAAAATTATTGAATTATAAAACATGATAAAAGATTATTAAAACACAAATAAGATTATAATAAAGCATATATAACTCTTTGAAAAAGATGGGACTTGTCTAGATTTTGAAATTTAAATTCTTACGGATAATGATGTATTTGAATTTTGCACATCCAATTTGTAAACAACACCGTACTGGAATATGAATAACCGTAGGCTCAAAATCGTCTCCATAACCCTTCTTCGAATATGAGACTACAAAAGAATCACATTTTATCATAATTAAGAATTGTATATAAATACATGGTAATGGAAAAACAAGGATATTTTTTAAAAATTGTAGTACCAATTCTTCATCTCACCAAGCTTCCCAACTTTCTTCTCCTTTAACACTAATTCCACCTCTAAAGAAGAGCTAATTTGTCCGGTCTCTAAGTCCTCTACCGTCCTAAAAGTGGAAAACAAAAAAAAAGTATAAAATATAAAGATGATGTCATAAATTATAAAAAGAAAAAAGAAACTCACTTTTGCCACTTGAAACCGGATGGATTGAACAAATAAGGAGCAAAACGCCATGAAATGGCCATAAACCAACTGCTAACACTTAGAAGAATGTAGCCTACTAAACCACCTGCATTGTATACATATGCAATATACACCACTAACAATAAAACCACTTCCATTCTGTTTCAATAAATAAATAAATAAAATATTAAAACCATGAGAGATTGATTATTCTAGAGAGAGAAAAAAGAGTACCCTTTGACCAAATGACTTCACGAATATGTACACAGTGATCACTGTTAAGTGTTAACTGCATATTAAACCAAAAAAGTTGTTAGCCGTTTAAAAAAAATAATATAAATAAATAAAAAAGAGTGTGTAGTCTACCATGGTGCAGAAGTAGAATCCAACGGTTATAAACTAGAACAAAAGCATCCGGAAAAAGTCAGAGTTCCCAAAACCTGAAACTTTTCCTTCATAATCCATCTTCATTCCCTGCTACCTTCTAGTTTTTGATGAAGAAGGTGATGGTGATGGTCATGCTGATGGTGATTGGATCAGTTGTTGCATAATGATCTTAATAATTCAAGAAATTCAGAATCCATTGATAGGCCTGGTTTATTTGTTCCACCAAATTTGTATAGTCTTTTTTCAAAGAACTTGCAGTGAATCATTCCAGTACTATGAACCTATAATGAAACTATATAGATTAAGAACTGAAGCAACTAGAGTAGAGAACTGAAGAATAAATGATTGATTTGTATACCTAAAAGAGTGACTGTTTCTTTATCAGTGAAAACCCCTTGTTGCAAATCTTGCAATATTTGTAGAAAGACCATATAAGGGACTAGAAGCTCATAGGAGAGCCGAGAGAAAGATCGACTGTTGTCTTTTCTACCTGTGTAGCTGGATAAAATGGTCCACCAGCCTGTAAAAGAAATTAGATGTTAATAATCTAAAGTTTCATGTGTTCTTGAATGATTTGAAGAGGAAAAAGGTGAAAAGGGAAATGATTAGGAGATAAATGTGGTTAGTTACTAGAATCACACTGTCATAAGCAGCCACCACAAGAAGATCAACACAAGAAACTACACTAGGGCATGCATTTTCTGATTCGGCTTTGATGATGTCAAGATGTTCAAAACATTTCAAACTATATATGGAAAAATCATATTTAGACAAAACTAAAAACAATAAAACTGCTACAGCATCATAGCCATAACTCTGAATCACTATGTTAAGAAGATAGAATTCTTGTTCTTCTGTGGTAGGTGAGTACACGAGTTTGTTGATTATACCAAGCACAATGTGTCTTAATCTCCCAGTCATGAAAAGCGTAAGGATTGATTTATGTAGGTAAACAAAACTTCCAAATCAAAATGAAAATTCTATCCAGAAATCAAAATGGAAGTTACTTGCTGATGGATTGATTCACAATTTTAATTACCGTTAACCAATACGAATTATCAAATTAAACCTAAAACTCAATCGATGTAATAGAAAACATAAGTTAGGGTTTTTTTTACCAAAACATGGAGAAAAAAGCTGAAATCGGATCCAATGGTAAGGTCCACCAGCTGCAGCAGCGACTTCGACGGTGGTGGTGGCGGCAAGAGAGAGGCGATGTTGATCTTCATTCACACTGTGAGAAAGGGGAGCAACTTTACTTGTTTAAGGGTGGTGGGTTGCATGTCGTACCGACAGTGGAAGGGAGAAGGTATGTTGCATCGACGACTTTGAAGGAGCTGGAGGGATTTGTTGCCGCTAGTGATGGCGGAGGTGACGTCGTTGGTGGAGGCAATGGTCGACTAGAGGCGGAAGGGATGGCCGACTGATTGCAGATCGGGGATGCTGGAGCCTGAGGTATCGTGTGATTAGATAGAGAAGAGGGAAAGTGGGAGTAGGGCAAAATCAAACCCACAACGATTCAGTGAAGCTCACCCTTTAACATTCTCATATTTACCAAATTGTCCCTACTACTTAAAAAATAAAAAAGAAAATCAAATATTACCAACGCGCATTTTCGACCGAATGGAAAATTATTGATTTGTGTTGGTAAAGGGTCTGTAGTTGTTCAGTGGATAATGACGTAAATGGAGACCGTGGGAAAATTGAAGAATGACGAAACTGAGGAATGAGGATGGTATGTTCAGTGGTTTATATTATGGGTCCTCGCCCTCCTATTTGCCCTTAAAGTTTGAGAATTGTTTTATGTTTTTCTCTAAACTTAAAGTTGAGGGTATAATCGGAAGTACAATGAATTCCTCTTCTCTTCTTCTATAGCAAGATCTTGCTCTTCTTTTGTAAACTCATGATACTTCACCTAACACCTATATCTAAAATTATCGCTAAATTATATATGTGTTGACTATTTTTTGATTATTTTTATTTTTGTTGTTGAGTTTTCAAAGATAATTATGTATTTTTAATCTATTTTTTTTCAATAATCTTCTATATTTTGCTACGGAAACATATTTCGTAACTACTTAACTACGGAATTTTCCGTAGCCAAATACCTATGGATTTTGATTCCGTAGCTATTTTTGCAAATTCACCTTTTTGTAACAAGTTCCATAATAGATTAGCTACAAAATTTTATTTTGTAGCAAATTTTCCTAGCAAAATAACTACGGATCTTAATTCCATAGCTAACTAGCTACGTATTTTTATTTCGTAGCCAATTATGTAGTCAACTAGCTACATACATGGATTTTGTAATAAGTTTCATAGATAACTAGCTACAACCAAAAAACTTGTAGCATTATTTGTAGTAAACTAGCTACGGATTTTAATTCCGTAGCAACTATTCAAGATTTAGCTACGGAATGCAATTCCGTAGCCATTTCCGTAGCAAATTAGTTACAACCAACCATTTTGTAACGTATTCCGTTATAAAATAACTATGAATTTAGATTCCGTAACAACTTTACGTAGCTATTTAAGATTTAGCTACATAATGTAATTCTGTAACCAATTATGTGGCAAAATAGCTACGATAAATTGTTCCGTAGCATATTCCGTACTAATATAGCAACGGATTTTGATTCCATAGTAACTTTCCGTAGCTATTTAGGATTTTTCTTGTAGTGACAGTATGATGTTTATTACCCACATTTCGTTCATGGAGAATATCATTTAGTTAGTGATAGCCCCATATTCAGTATCTTTTGAACAACTTTAAATTCCGATCCACCGTAATATGCTACATTGTTGTTGCACGAATGGAACAAAGATATCTTCTGTCAACAAGTTTGAACCTGTACCACCTAAGCGATTCAAAACTTCACATGATGTAATAAAGTGTAAGAACAATAGATGAGGTGGTGATCCTAAAATTCTCTTGATATCATAAAATGCAAGAAAAATATATCATAAAGTGCAAGAACAATATATCATATGCACGCTTGTTAAATGAATACTATATTATTCTTTTAGAATTTATAATATTCTTTCATGTAGTATTATTTAAGAATGTATCTTATTTTTTTCATAAATGTTATATTATGTAATGTCACTTATCCAATTATATTTAATTTCTTTTTTTTTTAAGAATGCATTTTTTATTCAAGAATGTAACTAGTATTCTTAAAGAATATCATATATGAACTTATAATTGATGACTCATTCTTCAAAAATGAGAATGATAAGAACGGAAATTGAATTGGATCCCTATAATGTTCAAAGCAATCTATATTAAAAACGTATTAGTTAAGAACGAAAATGATAAGAAACAATCACCAATAAAAATTCATTTTTTAAAAATGAAAAAGATAAACATGGATTGAGTTCTGTAACGTTTAAAAATGTTAACTTGTATTTGTATTTTTATCTTTTGATTTTTCTTTATTAATATGACTTACTTGTCTAAAATATAATTATATAGTAAATGCTAGCCCATGGTATTAAAATGTACATTAAGATCACATCCTTTCATTATTTTCAATCTAATAGCCAAAATTTGGTTATATCACACAATATATATATATATATATATATATATATATATATATATATATATATATATATATTCATCCCTAAATAAGTTAAAAGAGGATAAAACAACTACCAAGTATTTCCTTTATATATATATATATATATATATATATATATATATATATATATATATATATATATATATATATATATCATCCCCAAATAAGTTAAAAGATGATAAAACAACTACCAAGTATTTCCTTTATACAAATTATAGCTTCCATTTAATTGAAAAAGAATTGATAAAGAGAGGAGTTGGAAGCACTATCATCTTACACCTAGCAATTAGTGATGCCCGGTAAACATAGGGAGATAAAAAGTTCACAAACATTACTTATATGCATATAATAAATTAAAAATGAAAATAGTGATTGTTTCTTTCTGTTAGATTATAGTGTACATTGCTTTTTTATATGTATTGTATAATATAAGGACCGCAACGTAATATCCTCATATATAAATATATTGCATACATAACCTCCAATTAAGGAGGTTTTTATCATTATTAACATGGTATCAAGCTAGGTCTATGTAACGCCCGTGTTTCTAGGCTAGGCATTATCGTTGATGTAATAGTCTAGGTTGACCTTTGTAACTATTTTTGATGTAATAATGATGAAATATTTGAGTATTATATGAATTATGTGTTGATTTGCTTAATTATTATAATTTAATGAATTAAGAATAAAATAAGTGTTAAAATTAAAGTATGAGATAAGCCCAATATCTTTACATAAAGTTGTAGTGGTTGAAACAAGGATTCCAGAGATATAAAGAATGCTGAAATCCGAGTTATAACGAAGAAGTTATGACGTGTCGAAGTTTCGCGACAGAACCGGCACGACGTTGAGTGACGTAAAATGTGAAATTACGATAAAGCGATATTTAGCCTTAGTAATTTAAACGAAAACCGTAGAATACGTTAAACTGCAAGTGTGCATAAAAAGAACGCCCAAGTCTGACTTCGTATGAGGAAGATATGATTTTTCGAAGTTTCAGCTTAGTAGTAGACAGCCCGAAGTTCGAATATCAGATCGAGCGATATTTAGCCAAAACTTTCTAAATGAGAATTGAATATCTCATCAATAGTAGTGCAACGACGGAATTACAGACGAAAACGGACGTCGGATGAAGAAGTTATGAATTTCTAATGGAGTTTTCCTGTCCCGGCCTACTACAAATAGTATAAAAGTAATATATTTATAATATATTAAAAATAAATTCAAAATTAGCCAACGGAGTCTAAACAAGAGTTGTAGAGCATATTCTCACCTACGCGTCGAAATAAGAACGTCGAAAATGGAGTTCGTATTCAAAAGTTATGAATTTCTGAAGTTCGGGGTGCGAACCCCAAAGCTGTGTTAGTGGCCACGACGTGGAAACAGTGTCGACGAAGTGGCATGACTTCTGACGCCTTATATAGCCTGACAAAGCTAGTGGAAGATTACGCATGCAATGACGTTCAAGCCCACGATGTGGAAACAGTGCCCACAACGTGGAAAATGAGAAATTTGCCTTATAGATAGATTTGAAGGGGCAGTCGGCCAAGATTGCTAAATCACCCTTCTCTCACCCATATTACCTCGATTTACATGCAAAGTAGTAACCCCGAAGCCCCGGTATCATCCCGAGACCCGAAGCAAGTCCCGAAGCCCGAGGATCCCGAGATGAAAAGAATTTCCGAGCCGAAGGTCTGCCCGCGAGAAGTCCGATGTGTGAAGATATCCCAGATCCATCAAAGAATTTCAACTTGAAGAGCCGAAGTGATGTCCGAGCATCGTCTTAACAAGTGAGTGTGTGGTTACTTTCTTCTAACATATAAATATGGAGTATTTGCATTGAAATACGTGTTATGTGTATATATATTGTTGTTTATTTGAAATGGGTATATATCTGTAGCACCTGGTTCTTGGTACATATTCTTTGTAATTAACTCTTTAAATATTGCATTTTTGGCCTTGGACTCAGCGAGTTGAAGGACCAACTCGCCAAGTAGAAGCGGGATAAGTCGCGGGGTCTAAGTTGTGGACTCGGCGAGTCGGTTCCCGGACTCAGCAAGTAGACCCTGTCTGGGCAAAAACCCTAACCCGGGTGTTTGCACCCTGTTTAAGCACTCTAACTTAGCCTCCTTTGTCCCTAACACTTACAGAGAGCTATAAAACAAAACCCTAGCCCCCATATTGTTCTTGTGAGTGATCTTGGCCTATTGATAAAAGTTGGACTAGTAATCCACATCGTCAATCTCCCGAGTTCCAGCTAGGACTCGACACTTTTGTCGAGAGATCCATGTTACACCTAGATTGTAAAGGTGAAACCAGATGTCCGTGTGAGAAATG